TGACTGAAACTATGATGGGCTGCATGCTTGCGCAAAAGTTTGAGGACAAGGTGGAGAAAGCTATCTACTACCTAAGCAAGAAGATGTTGGATTACGAGACCCGCTACACTCCACTCGCGAAGGCTTGTTTGGCCTTGGTATGGGCTACCAGGAAGCTGCGGCACTACCTGTTAGCTCACTCTATAATGTTGGCTTCGAGATTAGATCCCATCAAATATCTCTTTGAGAAACCGGCGCTTACGGGTAGGCTAGCTCGTTGGTTGCTTCTGCTTTTCGAATTCGATCTGAAATATATGACGTGCAAGTCAGTAAAGGGGAGAGCAGTAGCAGAATTCTTAGCCGATCACCCGATAGACAGAGATGAAGCAGTTGAGTACTTATTCCCAGATGAGGCCATTCTACATATCGAAGAAGAATTTTGGACGATGTACTTTGACGGAGCATCAAACCAATACAGGTATGGGATAGGAGTGTTGTTAATAGAACCCGACAATTCCCGTATCCCTCTAGCATTCAAACTCCGGTTCAAAGTCTCGAACAACGAAGCAGAGTATGAGGCATGCATTGCCGGTCTAGAAGCGACCCTAGAACTAGGGGCAAAACGGTTGGACGTCATTGGGGACTCGAACCTTGTTGTATCCCAAGCTAAGGGAGATTGGAAAGTCAAAGAAGAAAAGATGAGAATGTACCACCAGACCTTGGACCTGCCGATTCCTCGGTTTGAGAAGCTGAACTTCGCTCATCTATTGAGAGAAAATAACAGGTTTGCAGATTCACTAGCAACTCTATCTTCCATGATAGACATCCCTTTTGGATTCCGGATGCGTCCAATCATCATTAACCAGAAATTTGCGCCGGCCTACGAGTCAATTGGTGCCATAAAAGAGGTTCAAGAGGAGAACCCTTGGTATTACGATGTCTGGAACTTCTTGGAGAAAGAAGCATATCCACCAGGGGCAAATGCTAAAGACAAGAGGGCAATCCGAAGAATGGCTGCTCAGTTCATCGTTTGCGGGGAAAAACTGTATAAGAGAGGTCATCTGGGAATGCATACGCTGTATGTTGATGCCAAAGAATTGAAGCGCTTGATGGAGGCCATCCATGGAGGAGAGTGCAGAGCGCACATTAATGGGGGTGATGCTAGCCCGAAAAATTCTCAGGCAAGGTTACTACTGGTCCACCATGGCGGAGGATTGTATCGGCTTTGTGCGGCGATGCCATAAATGTCATGTCCATACAAACCGCATGAATATCCCACCGTCGAAGCTGTACAATATGACTTCGCCATGGCCATTTTCAGTTTGGGGAATCGATGTGATCGGGGCTGTCACTCCAAAAGGGTCTAATGGGCATGAACTCATTCTGGTCGCGATAGACTATTTCACAAAGTGGGTTGAGGCCCAATCTTATGCAGTGTTGAAGGCTTCACGTGTTGCGAGGTTCATCAGGAACAACATCATCTGTCGCTACGGGGTCCCGAACGAAGTCATTTCAGATAATGGTTCCCACTTCAAAAAGGAAGTGATTGACTTGTTGAAAAAATACAACGTGGCTTTTCATAAGTTGTCCACATATCGGCCGCAGACCAACGGAGCAGTTGAGGCTGCCAACAAGAACATCAAACACATTTTGCAGAAGATGGAGGAAACCTACCGGGACTGGCCAGATAAGTTTCCATTTGCTTTGTGGGGCTACCGGACATCAATTAGAACGTCTACTGGGGCGACTCCGTATTCATTAGTTTATGGGATGGGGGCCGTTCTACCTATCGAGATTGAAGTCCCGTCTTTGCAAGTGCTGGCTAAGTGTCAGATAGCCGAAGCAGATTGGCATCAGAGCAGATTCAAAGAACTCATGCTCTTTGATGAGCGCAGACTGAAAGCACTGTACCATGTTCAGGGTTATCAGCGTAGAATTGCCAGGGCTTTGAACATGAAAGTTAAGTCTAGGAATTTGAAAGAAGGAGATCTGGTACTCAAGGACAATCGAGCTCCCATCCACGACCCTAGGGGCAAGTTCAGACCTAATTGGACCGGTCCCTACATCATCAAGTCTATCTGGTCTGGTGGAGCTGTCGTTCTGATGGACCTAGATGGCCTAGAGTTCTCCCAACCGATCAACATGGACAAGTTGAAGAAATAATACCCCTGAGTGGCTCGCTAGGCCGAAAACCCAAAAGGGCGACCTAGGCAAAAGTTAGAGCAAAAAAAAAATTAAAATTATAAAAACTGAGCTTGCAAGGTTACAAACCTGCAAAGGGCGGCCTTAGCAAAAGTTAGAGCGTAAAAGGTGAGGGTTAATACACGAGTGAACCTTAGCCGAACTACGTAAGGCTTGATTCCCATCCTTGGGATATGTAGGCAACTTCATCTTGAAGTCCAGCCATAAACACTTCCCCGATCAACTTTGTCCATGTAATCCTGTTTGGTCATCTTTGTCTATTCAGCATTCAAAGAGCTCGGTTGTGATCTCCGGTGCAGTGCTATTTAGACTAGGGGTAACTTTCCAGTTGCTGGGATCTGGGTTTGTGCATTTCAGTGACAGATCTCAGGCGTCTCTAGTTCTGATCCATATCAAAAATGGTTTTGAAAAGTTTTAATAAAAGTTGATTTTGCTCAAATTAATCTTTTTACGACTTAGACCATTTTTGGACCGAAACGGAAAATTTTCTGTACCCACAACCTCCAATTATATTGATTTCAGTACAGAGTTCTCTTGTTCTTGAATACAAATTGAAGTTACTTTTTATTACATTCATAAAGAAAACTTGAAAGTTTTGATTAAAGCAAATAAATTAAGGGCGTAGTCAGGTGTTCCTGCGCCTCCTCCTAGAGCTGGTCGAAGCCTCTAATGCCAAAGTGGGCCCTATCTGTGCCTCTTCGTTGAGCTAATCTATGCACTCAACAGAAAGGGTGTAACTGAAAGCGGGAGCGGGGACCAGAAGCTCTCTCGTCCTCCATGCCGTGGCATACCGAGCTAGTTGCGCGCCTCGGACCGAAAATGCAGCTGGGTATTCTATCCCCTTTGCCGGGCAAATCTGATCATGGCCAAACTGGCGCTAGAACCGGAAAGAAAAGTAGAACACGCAGTGTGTCTGGCCAATCAACTGAATCCCAGGCTGCCGAGACATGCTGTAGCTCATTGCTGGTAGATTGAGCCAAGGACAGCACCAAGCAATGCGGTCTGCGGACAAATTACACATCCAGTCAAACCACCATCCCTCATCAAGGGCATCGACTAGGCGACATCAGAAGAAGTAGCCGTGAGTTGAGTATGCTGGGCAAGAGTCCACAACTTGCAATTTGTCCATCAACCACACCTGGGAAGGGATGAAAAATGAGAGATTAAAGAATAGAGAGGTGTATGTTGAGAGAAAAGTGAGAAAGGGTTTTGAGAGAAAAACCGAGGCTGAGGATCGAGTGATGTGAGCAATATACATGTGAGGAAGGGTGGGAACATTACCTTCAGCAGTAGTGGACTCCCCGCAAATCTGGTCATCTCCTGGCGATGGAAAGCATCCAAGGCCATCAATGTCTCAGCCACTGACATGGCAATGTAGCTTTTGCCTTCCCTTAAGCCTTGGGCAACCCCAATCAACCGGAAACTAGATCTTTCGAAGCCTGAGGCAAGCAAGAAATGAGATAGCATGCACAAACAAAGGGCATGTCACTACAACAAAAAAGGTCTATGGTGACGAAAACGCGTAACGAAAAAATATTTCGTCTCCAAATATTCATGTTTTAGTGATGAAAATAAGATTTCGCCTCCAATTGAACTATTTTTAGAGACGAAAACCAATTTTCATCACCAAATGCTTAAAATCAAATAAAACAATAGGTGACGAAAATTTTATTCGTCTCTAAATTTTATTTTTCATTACAAAACAATTTCCCGCCCTTGGAAAATTTGGTGGAGGATTTGGCGCCATTTTGGAGACGAAATTTTTCGTCACCATTGTAAAAATTTTTAGAGAAGAAATAATTTTGTCTCCAAATGTATTGTTTTTAGAGAAGAAAACCAAATTTCATCACCAAATGCTTAAAATCAATAAAAAAATACAAGAAATCTAGGCTATTGTGACAAAATTTGGTGATAAAATTTTTTTTTGTCTTAAAATTTAACCCAAAGATGACAAAATATTAATTTTGTCATTTGTTTCAATTTTTCTCAAAAGTATAGGAGACGAAAACAAAATTTCGTGTGCAAAAATGAGGCACCAATTTCATTTGTATTGGCGCGAATTATTTTAGCTCATTGGAGACGAACATTTTGGTCACAAAATATAATTTTTTTGTGACGAACGTAATTCGTCGCCAATAAATTCCATACCTATTAAACGATGTCGTTGCATATTTCCATTTATTAGGCGACAAATATATTTTTTTCTGGGAATGATAACTTATGGAAGACGAAAATATTTCGTCACCAATAAACACTCCATCATGCAGACAATGTCATTTCATCTTTCTATTAAATAGGCGACAAATATATTTTTGTTTCAGAAGAATAAGTTGTGGGAGACGAAAATATTTCGTCACTAACAAATTCTAATTGATTGCGTGACAAATATATTTTTCGTCTCATACGGTTAAGTTGTGGAAGACAAAAATATTTCATCACCAATAATAAATTCTTTGTTCTAGTATTGAAGGATACAAAAATATTTTATCACTAATCATTTCTCTTTATTAAAATGTTGTGGTTTTGTGTTTCGAAGCATTGGAACTGTGACCCTAAGAGATACACTTTGACGCTTATCACTCATTTTCATGTACACAGACCTTGAAGTCGTGACCCAAGAAAACACTTTCTACAAACCCTCATTTCTCTCTCGCACTTGAATCTACTTCTCTCTCACAAGCATTGAAAATGTGACTCAAGAAGACACTCTGTAAACCATTTCTTCTATTTCGCGCTAAAGCCCATCTCTTATGTCTCACACTTAAGCCCTTCGTGCATGCCAGCATTGAAGCTATTATCCAAGAAGGTTCTCTCTTTATCTTTACTGCCTGAGTTGGTAATTGTAGGAGAGTAAATGATGTCCTTTAACCTGCTTGCGGCCATATATGAACATATGTCCAGTGATGTCTCTTCTGAAAAATGGTGGAGTTGGTCCGACTTCTAAGGGGAGCCTGAACCCCACCATTACAGTCCATCCTAGAAGCTTCAGAATTGGGGTGGGGTATTAAGAGAGGTAAATTTATTTTTGTATTTTCAAGAACAAAATTTTAAAAATATTTTCTGATGTTTGGGAAGTCAAATGAAAAAAAAATTTAGTTATCAAAGGAATCCTAACACCATCACCACTGTCATTGACATCCTATCATCATTACCATCACTGCACCACTGACATCATCACCATCCACACTAACACAGTGTCCGGATCCTCTACCACGGTCTCTGTAGTGCTACCAAACGACGTTGTTTTGAACATAGTTCCCTCCCCCCCTCCCTCCCCCTCTTTTCTTTTCTCTCAGTTCTGAAATCAGAGAGACGAAGAGGGACGGGTGGCGACACGGCGGCAGAGACTCCAATGGTACATTATGGCAAGGGATTGATACCCAAATTTTCACTTCTTTGAAACTGGGTGTTCTTAAATTCATAATCTAGAGTGTTTGCCGTATATGGGTTGTTGACAAATTTCAAGCATCTGGATCAAAGGCCTTGTGATTCAGAGGTTTAAGTCCTTAAAGGGTTGATTAAATTTTTGGTTTCCACTTGTAAATTTTAGTTTGATTTTTTAAATGAAAATAGTGATATGTTGTTTTTTGTTGTTGAGTTGGGACAAGGTTTTGTCCAGTTCAGTCAGTCTTACAACTTGTTCCGGACTTTTCAGGAGTTTAATCCCCTACTTTGTTGAGATGTCTGAAAGGGACTCTCACTTTGCTGATTTGAAAGTGGAAAATTGCGAGCTTTCATGTAATGGAGTGAGTCAACTTGTAGGTGTTCTTTCAACTTTAAAGAGGCCACTGGATTCTCTATCTATTGGAGAAAATGGCCTTGGCAGGTTAGTCTGGCTTATGTAGTTTCAGTCTAACAGAGTTTTGACTTCCGCTCTTGTCATTTCATTTCCAGATTTATTGGTTCTGATATTGCTGTCCTCCAGCAAAGTTGGAGCACCTTTGGGAAAATTTTTGGGCATAGGTATTCAAGCACTAGAAAGTGAAGATATTGGGCTTGGTTCATCTGGCTTTCTGGAACTACAGAAATATGAGAAGATTTGAAGCTTGCCTACATCAACATGAGGTTCTACTGATGCCTAGACTTTTTTAGAACTTGTGTTGTAGCTTATTTCTGAAACATAAACTTGTTGATTAATATTGTATAGTAAAAACTGCAGTGGGATTGGCAATGATTATAATTTGCTCACTTTTTATTTTCTTTTTTTATTTTTGGGTTAGTTTATTTTTTTTATGACTGATTCCAGTAGTTTTTGGTAGGAGCATTGGCCAGCTTGTTCCTTGATGTCAGAAAGGCATTTGTTCCTGCAATGGGGGAATGGTGCAAGAGATTCTGGACTTGTACCTTCGACCAATACAAAGCCTAGACTGAAATGGACACAAGACCTCCATGAGCAGTTCATAGAAGCAGTAAATCAGCTTGGAGGAGCAGACAGTGAGTGCATACATCATAATAAGTTTAAGAAGAAACCAAAGGAAAAATGTCTAATGCTCAACTAATTGAAATATCTCTTCTTTGTTACAGATATTTCAATTAGTTTTGAAACTTATTAGTTGAGATATTCTTTGTCTCAGATTTTTATTTTTATTTTTAGGGGATTTTCATATTCATATACTTGTATATAAGCACACAGATTAAGAATAACTCCTCCAATTTTGGTTTGGCAGAAATACAGGCTCAGTAAGAATTTCTGCCAATTTTGGTTTGGCAGAAATACAGGCTCAGTAACTCCTCCAAATGGATTATGACAATGACTATTCATCTTTCGAATGTGATTTACTGAATGATACTTTTATAGCTATATTCTAAATGATACTTTTATAGCTATATTCAACTAGGCTCAATGGCAATTGTTCATTCTCAGAGCAGTTCCTTCATGAGATTGACGCAATTGTTCATTCTCAGAGCAGTAAATCTTGGTGGAATTATGTAAATAAAGCCCGAAGATATACCCTATTATCTGGTTGTCTCTGTGTTATCGTATTCTAAATGGAGTTGGACTGAAGACTAAAAAGTTTCTTCCTTTTTGTTGGTTGAAGTTCAACTTTTGCTATCTGTCTGATATCATTTTCTTTGATGAGAGCCTCAAATTTCTGCGTCAAGATTATGCTGTGCAGTCCTTACCATTTGGACTATAGGCCCAGCTTTAAATGTTGCTACCTATCTCTTATTTTTAATGCAAACTCCATGGCGGTGTCTTTTGATCCCATAGCATAATGTAGCTTATTGACTGGAATGCTTAAGATATGCATCTCAATTTTTTTATCAAATGAAATGCCCATTGAAACCTCAATATCCACTGTTGATGCTGAAATGTTACTATGTAGAGGATCTTATAGTAGCTTTTTTGCAGTTTGAACCCTTTCAACACTTAAATATCTCCTAGTGATGAAAGTTGATAGATTCTATAAGCATCTCCCTCACCATTTTATATGGCTAAGGCTCCCTAGTCTTTGGAAACATGTTGCACTCACATATTAAACAAATGCCAGCCATTTCTGTGCAGATTTAGCTTAAGACATGTCCTCCTTCAATCTGTTCAATTTGTATGTAATTGGTATGCATTTGAGATATTTTTCACCTACATTAACCAAAAGAAAATATTGAAGCATAGCTAAGGATGTGTGAAGTATGCAAGTATGTGTTGGCCTGTGTAGCCTTCTGAGCATTGTCTGACTCTCTGCATCTTTGCATGTGTTCTTGCTGACACTTGTAGGTGTAAATAGTTTTGTAATGCTATCCAAGTGATCCAAATACTTATTGATTTATAGTTTGTCACAGAAGATGAGAAGAATATTCTGTGGTTTTTCCAATTTTAGTAGCTCCTTCCCATACTAGAGATCATCTCAAGTCTAGGCTTACCTCAAGAAGTTGGGATCTCAAATTTGGGACTTAACTTGCTTAATTGGTCTAGTTGCCTTCCAGGTCTGTGGACCAATTAGTTTTTTGTATTGGTGGATATTTGCCAATACAATCATGCTGTTAAGAAGCAATAATGGTTGATGTTTAAATATTTTTCATGAACACATCAAGACATCATCACAAATTCATTAGTTTCTTACTTCAATTTTGTTTTCTTAGGGAAACTTTAGTTTTCTTCTGGTCCATTTATATGGATGTGACTCAACCTAGGTGTCATCTATTTTGTTTAATTATTCAGTTTTAAGTGGCTACTAAAAATATACCAGGACAATTTAGGTACGGCATGTAGATGTTCTTTCTGCTTGGAGTGGTATTCACCCATTGGCAACACTGAGAGCATTTCCAGGGATCATGTTGTATGCGAAGATTACCCTGGTTTTGTCACAATTACTGGTGGAAAGTGGACTACATGTAGAAGGTACATTTTATAATGGTTGATCTGGGTTTCCCTATAAGTTGTTGAATTTGTATCAGTTTTTGGAAACTGAAACTTGTATGCACTGGCATCTTCTTTTTGATGCTTTTGTACAATCATGTCCCTGAATTTAGTTAAATACTCATTGTGCTAGCACTTCTAGTTCTATGCCCCTTCTTTATGGCTTATTTGTAGCAGATATAACAGCATGTTATGTTACCTTAATTTATAGTGAAATCAATATTAGAAGTGTGAAGCAACTTTTTCCTGTCAGTCTATTCTAATGAAACTTTTGTTTCCTTTACATGAGTAAGCATGGCAGAAGATGCAGTTGATACAGCTATCAAGTCTGGTAAGCATAGTCCTACCAACAAATGTTTGACATAACCTAGAGTCAGATTTCTTGTACTTAACCTAGAGTGAATATAATAAGATATAAATGAGACATGTTTGGATCACACAGGTTTCATGTTTGGATCTAATTTTTCACTGTTTGGGGTTAGTTCTAGCTATGCAATAAAGGTTGATTACAAGATGTGTTATTTGCATCATTTTGTTTGGAGATCCTTGCATCATTACAATCTCATTGTTTTATTATGTGAATCATTTTGTTTTGTGTTTCAGTATTGTTGGGTTGAAATAAAAATTTGGTGATGCAATTGACTAATTGGATTAAGATTACGCTTACTTTATCTTTAGCCATAAAGAGAAACTTTGAAAGTAAAACTGAAGATAAAATTTGTTTTCATTGATTGGTGATGTGAGGATAAGAGTTTAGCGTAGGATTAAGACAAAGAACACAGTCCAGAGAAAGAGAATGTTGGTTTTCTATTTATTAGTATTATTTCATCAGGTGGTACTCTCCGTACTCAAACTATCTGTAATCTCTCTTATGAGTATATATTTATGTGATGAACGTGAAGTTTGAATGTGGGTGCGTGCAAGTGGAGGTGAGAGTTTTGAACCTAACTTGCGATTGATGTGCTAACTTTTTGTTAACTTTATTATTGGCAATGATTATAATTCTTTTTATTTTATTTTGGGTTAGCTTCTTTATTTTTTTGACTGATTCCAGTGTTTTTCTGTAGGAGCATTGGCCAGCTTGTTCCTTGAAATAAGCATTGGCCTATGAATGAGTTATTCAATATTTTGATGGTTTTTTAACATTTTTTTGGGTTATTGTTTGTGGTTAAATATAAATAGGTAGGAAATGTTACAATTTTTCTTCTATTGTTTGTCAAATGTAAAATTTTAGCGATTTGGAAGAGGAATTAAACTTGTTTGGTTTATTTTTAGTTTATGTGCTTCTCTATAGAATCTTGGACTTTTAGATTTGACCTTGTTTAGCTAATAGTGCAATTTGAAAATTGAATCTTTTTTTTTTTGGGAGAAGTGTATTATTTTGCAGATTTAGTCAGGGCAAATGAAATTTATTTATATTTGTTCATTTTATATTTTTTTTAAAATAAGGAGAAAAGATGGCGTTTTTGAAAAAAAACGTTGCTAAATGTCGCGATATGATGTCAGTGTTTAACTGTAACGGAAAAGATGGCGTTTTTAAAAACGTCATTAAATGTCGTCATATGACGTCAGCTTTTAACTGTGACGGTTTATGTTTAACGGATGTTCAAGAATTTGAGGCGTTTTAAAAAGCGCCGGCTAAAGTCATTAGTGACGTTTAATAAACGTCAATAACCTAAGACGGCGGTCGTATCCTCGACGCAAGTTATAAACGTCGCTAAATCCTTTAACGGCGTTTTTAAGGCTTATAGTGGCGTTTTTTAAACGTCGCTAATGCCAAAAATTCCTGCAGTGTTTGTTTGTTGGTACAAGTTATTAATATGATGTTAATAAAATATTACATGGTTTTTTTTGTTTTTTTTATTTTTTATTTTTTTAAAACAAAAAAGGAAAACATATGGGTATTGGTACTCTATAGAATTTTAAATATTGAGTTCTTTGTGTTATTTATCATTCGATAATTTTTTTTTTGCATGCTATGCAATTAATTAAGTTTATATTTAGGATCCGTTTGTTTTCAGAAATAAAATAGAAGGGATTGATAGTGAGGAAATCAATAGTGAGGAGATTAATAGTGAACAAATTAGTAAAATTAAGTTTGGTTTGATGATAGTTGTTTGTAGTCCTATTTGGTGTAGCTATTAAAACAGATTATAGATTGGCCTCGTTTGGGAAATGGCTATTTTAGTTTTTGGCTATTTTAAGTAGGCTAGAATTTTTGTGTTTGGGAAGATGATTGGATTCTTTTGTGGTTGGATGTGATGTTTGTGAGAGAAAAAGTGAAATGATTATAGGTTTGATGTGATATTTTGTCTTATTAGCTATTTTAGCCTATTTTGTATTTTTGTGATTTTTAGCCTAAATTTGGCTATTTTTTTTCTTCCCAAACACCCCCAATATGACTTTAATCATAAGTTGTTAATTTGTTTGGTATAACTAATGGATTATAGATTTAAGTTGCTGAGTAGTATTTGTTAAATAAGCTGTGAAGTAGTTTTTTCAATTAACTTTTATTTTTTATTATTTATTACTTGTCTACATTTCTCTTAAAAAATAATAATAATAATCTATAATCCATTTGGATTTTTTTTCTATTTTTAAAAAAATAAAAAATACAAAAATCTAAGAGTATAACCGTAATTTAACATGTCTACAGCAGAAACTAATAATCAGAAGTAAAGGGTGAACAACTTCTCAGAATCAGTTTTTTTGAGTTAAAATAAGTTGTTAGAATCAAAAACTGTTTGAAATAAGTTTAATCAAACAGTCCAAAATAGCTTTTCGAAAGCTAGAAGTTATAAGTTGGCTCACAAAACCCCAAACAAACACCCCCAGTGTAGGGATTGTTAAATTAAATAAATATAAAATAATAAAACAAATTAAATTATGATTTTTACTTAACCAAAAAAATAAAAACTTTAAAATTAATGTTCAAAAAAAAAATGGCCAACATGTAAAAAAAAAAAAATTGTAATTGACCGGCCGGACGTCCAGCCGAAAGTCTGAATGGATAACCGATAACATACTAAACCAAACGGACTATTTTCTAATACCATCTTCTCGCCTAGAATATCAATTCCCTCGCACAAGGCCTTTTAGAAGGGACTACCAATTCGAAACACCATAAATAAAACAAACATGATATATTATTACTGTTCATTACTAACAGTCCGTTTTGGGCTGCTAGAGAGCAAGACAAACGAGCCCTTAATGTTTTAGGATGTATTTGTGACTCTTGTTAATTGATACATGGCATATTATATAATTAATTACTGGAATGGTACTTACGCTCGACTTTAAACTATTGAAATTTTTTTTGGAAAATATTCTTTCAACTATTTGTATTTTGATTAGTCTTTCAACTATTTGTATTTTAATTAGTTCATAAAATATTATTGTACTTCAATAAATCATGTTATTTTAGACATTTGATCCATCAAATCCTAATTTTCATATTTAAGATATTTTACAAACAATTTTATCTTTACAAATATTTTTATTTTACCCTTACAAATATTTTTTAAATCTTTAGTAACTTAGTGATTTAAACATTCACATTAAATAAATTTAATAGTATGAATATTCCATTGACAGCGTGAATATTTACATCATAGAACATTCACATTGTTAATGTGAATATTAATACACGCTTCACCCTAATATTATTAGAGTTATTTTAGTAATTATTGGAATATAAAAAATAGTTTGAACTAAGTTGAATATAAGGAGATGAAGAATAATTTATAAATAAATATCTATTTTTTTTATTTTTTGTTTTTCTATTTTAGCCTCAATTAAAAAATATAAATTTTTTTAAAACAAGTATAAATATATAATTTTTTAGGCTTCGTTGGGAAAGCCCAACTTAAATTTTTTTTCTTTTATTATTTTAGTCACAAAAAATAAAATAAATTTTTTAACTTAATAAATTAATTTAAATTATTAAAAAATATATCACTAATAATATTAATATATTAAAAATAATAATAAAAAAAAAGACATAAAAAATGAGCAGAACCCATCACCACATCATTAACGCTCCTTCCAATGTTCCCAAGGATTTTTCATTTTCTGCTTGATCAAAACAACTTTTCCTGTGATAGGGCCAGCTTATTTCAAACGTGATGTGACTCACTTTGTAAGAGCCTAGTAAGCCAAAAATGCGGTCAATTACTTCAATCATTTGTTTTTCTTAGTAAATTATAAATATTAATAAATACATCATCTCATATTTATTATTCTTAGTAAATTATAAATATTAATAAATACATCATCTCATATTTATTAAAAATATAAATTTTCCTTTTATGTTTGAGAAATTTCATTCACTTTTTGAAGTTTCCAATAAATAGCCCTCTCTATACCAACAGCGTATGACGTAAACAACAAATTTTTTTCTAAAATATCAACTTCTATGAAGTTAAAATATTTTATTTTATTTTTTCTTTTTCTTATTTCATGTTTCTTATATCTCATATTTTCTCTAGTAACACTATCTTACCCAATTATCACACAAGTCACTCCTACTCTCCATTAACGCCATCATAATTAGGCCTAGTTTAGGAAGACTAAACAAGTGTACTTTTTGACTTTTTATGAAATATGGGTTGAATTTGGGTTGGGTTTGAAGTGATGTGTTAGAGAGGTGATGTGACTTAAATAAGATGATGTGACTTAAATAGGATAGTGACTTTTTGACTTTTTGTCTTTTTTCAATCTTCCCAAACTAGGCCTTATTGTCTACAAGTATTTGATATGTCGCCAAGAATAATTGAAAAATATTATAATGATGTAGAGAGAAATTTAGAGGTGGGTATATAAAAATGAAGGTATTATGGTAATTTCATTTTGGCATCAAAAGTTATTTGGGTAAATATTTTTTTTAGGAAAAACTATGATTAGAAAGTATTTGTAATTTTTAAAACATAAAAGGGGAATTCATATTGTTGGCAATTCTCAATGATATATTTGTTATTTACTTCTCTTTTTTTTCTATGTGTTTTGTTTTTTCAGCATATAATTGTCCAACAAGAAAATGCTTAACACTGTTAAAACATTATTCTTAATTTTACTTCTAATAAGATGGATTGTTACCTATGAATTGTTGACCTGTGAAGAGTAAATCAACTAAAACTCAACTCTTACCATATAAATACAGATAAATTCAAAAACAGATAAATTTAAAAATAATATTTTAAAAATCTCTAGTCTCACTCTTTTCTAACATTTTTGTTAAAGGGGTAATCACACCCCAATGGGTGTCAAAGTAAAATAATACAAAATCATAAAAAAAAATTATAATTATTAATTTGTATAAAAATTTACACTGATTTATAAATAATTTTGTAGAATTATTTCCTTTGTTAAAACCCATTTTTGAATGTCTTTGTGACATCCAGACCAGAAAGCGCGTGGGGATAATTAACTGGAGCTGTTTGTCTGGTGGCACAATCTATCATGTTAACTTCTTCCTTTTTTTTTTTTTTGGGATCAGCAACTTTTCAAAGTATTTTTTTAATAGTATTACTTTCTATTTAAATTACCAATCACTCCTATAAACTTTTAGTTTGGACTCTTAGGCCTCGT